CTGGGGCAGCAAACATGCAAAATGGGCCTGGAAGATCCTGTAGAAGCAGCACACGAGGAATCATCCCATTAAAAGATGGGGGTTTGGAGGACGCAGTCCTCTGAAGGGGCCTCCTGATGTTGCGCCATGGCCAGTGCAGTATGAGCCACAGCATAAAGATGAAAGAATTGGATCTTTTTTTTTTTTCTTTTGAGAGGTTTTTTTTGTTTGTTTTGGTTGTTTGTTTGTTTGTTTTTTTTTTTGGCTATAGGGCATGAAAACTTGCCAGAAATACAGAGAGACAGAAAGCGAGAAAACACCCCACAGAGGAGGTGGCCATGCTGCAGTTCCTTCTCCATTCTCCTCTTGGGATCTTGGGTATACATGCACACACACCTGGTGTGAGTTTAAGCCACTGGGTCTGGGACTTGAACCCCAGTTGACTACATGGGAGTCCAGCGACATAGCCATTATGCCAACTGCTGGTTTCAGAATTGGATCTTAACTCTTGGAATAAAATTAACATCTGTGTGTAACATTGACATCCACTGATGTAAGCAAGTAGCTTATGAAATAAGTAGTTGAAGGGAAAGGTTCATCTCTTCCATATAGGATGGTTGCAGTTAAGAGAATGTAGAAGGAAAGAAAAATAGAAAATCACCTTTAGGCAAATGCTTCTGTAAGAAGTGTTAGAGACAGGATTGCTGAGGGATGGCAAAAGCCTGAGAAGAGGCAGGTCCGTGTATTCTCAAAGTTTCTCTCCAAGATGTCTGAACTGCAAAGAGCAATGCTAACCACAGCAGGGGACCCAGTGGGAAGCACCTGAATCAGGTGACCAAGGCCAGCATCACCCATGATCGGACAGACTGCCATCGTGACTTCTCAAGAAGATACATGACAAAGGCACATCTGTCTGTGAAGGAAGCATGGTCTCACAGCAGGCATATGAAAGAATCACATGAGTCCAAATGAGAGACATTGGAAAGAATAACTTATCAGAAGTTATCAAGATCCTTAACAAGGGCCCCAAGGACAAGGAAAGACTGAGAAAGTGCTCCATGCTACAGGAGACCTAAGGGAAGTGACAGCTCAGCACAATACAGGAACCAATGCAGAAAAGGGTCATTTATGGTAAAAATCGTGTAAGGACTGCTCGGTTAATAATTTTACTAAGTATATTCAGTGTGAGTTTTCTGGTTTTGCTAACTGTCCTACAGTTACATCAGATGTCAACATTATAGAAGGCTAAGTAGGGGCTTTATGGAAACTACCTTTTTTAAAACACATTTTTGTAAGTCCAAAATTGATTCAGAATTAAAAAATGAATTAGGAAATCCTGATACACTATAGCATGCATGAACCTTAGGGACATTATATTAAGCAGAACAAGCCATCACATGAAGATAAGTACTGCATGCTTCCTCCTGTCTGAGACTCCTGGAGTGGTCAAAGTCTTAGAGATGGACAGCAGGTTAGAGGGCCCTGGGGGCTGGGAGCTGGGTCCTGTTGGGAAGATGGGAAGGTTTTGGAGGTCGGTGGCACAACAATGTGAATGTACTTAGCAATACTGACTGTGCACTAAAACGATGGTAAAAATGGTAAGTTTTACATTGTGTATGTTTTATCATAAATAAAGAAATAACGAATTTAATGATGTGCTCAGTCTTGAAAATAGTTCATAAAGAAAGAAAATTTCAGTGTAACTTAGCAGTGTCTCTAATAAAACGCTGCCCATCGTTGTTTCAGGGGAAGCAAGACATGGAAGTGTGCTTGGGAGTCCTGGGGTTCAGGAGGGGACAGTTAAGTGCTTCTCCTCTGGGTCACTGCTAGTAGAGAAGAAAAGAGCTAACACTGACTGCCTGCCTACTGGGTGCGGGACTCTTTTTTGTGCATTGTACAGAAAATTTCACACGAACCAGCTTGCTCTCAATTGCCACCCAGTGAGTAGCACCTCAGCCTTGAGAGGTCTCAGAATAGTGCCCACAAGTTCCCACAAGGTGGAACTAGGTTCTAAATACCTGATATGTCAGGGTATAGAATTACATTTTCCTGGCTTTTAGGTTTTTATTTTTTTAAAAATTTGCTATAGGGCATGAGTGCTCATTAGAGAGAAAGAGAGAGAGAGAGAGCACCCCCCTGGGGGTGGGGGCAGAATGGCCATACCACAATTCCTCTTCCATCCCCATATCCCATCTCCAGATTCGGGACATGCATGCACACATGCCTGGTGTGCTTTTAAAGCCACTGGGTCCTGGACTTAAAGCAAGCAGCTGACCATTTGGGATCTAGCTACCTTAACCACCACACTGCCACTGGTTTCTGGTTTTTACTTTGTAATGTGTAGTAATGGAGTCCAGAAAAGAAAAAAAAAAGAAAAAACACCTGTTATCATCTCTTTACATTGTTTTCATTCCTCCAATACTATCAAGCACTGACACATGTCCAGTCTTACCAGTATGCAGCTTTCTCGGGCTTATGTGACTGGTGAAGAGAGGAGATAATGAGTAAATGATGCAGAGTGGCAGAAAGAAGCCATTGTGAGGCAGGGGTGGTGTGGAGTGCTGGAGGGAAGAGAGCAACCATTCTGAAGAGAATGTCCAGGGATGGACACCAAGCACTTGGTGGAGCAGAGCCTGAAGAACAGGTCAAGAACAAGCCCTGTGGGTATTTCGACGCAGAGTGAAGAGGCAGTATAAAGTCTGCAAGGCAACTGTGTGCAGCACACGTAAGGGGCGAAAGGCCTTGGTGACGGGCTGAGTCCGTGAGGTTTGAGAGGCAGCACTAGAAAAGGAGGGGAGGTAAATCTTGCCTGGGATCCTCCCAAAAGACGAAGGATTCTCCCTGAATATGAGGAGCCGCTGTAACCTCAAGTGGTTAGACCGTGAGGAGAGCACAGTCACTGTGGGAAAAATTTGGACCTGCATGCCCAAGGCATCCTTAAGTGTCCAGGTGAGGGTGTTGATTGCAGTTGGGGCCACATAATCTGATCTGAGCTGCAGTCAGATTTGGTCGTCATACTGTGGAGATTTCTGTAAGATCACTGCATGGACATACTGAGTGTAGAAAGAGGAAGTCCAAGGGCCTCTTGGGCCACAAGAGGAACCAGTAGGCAGACTGAAGGCAGGGAACTGCAGGTGGCCTGTGTCTGAGATGGCAAGGAAGGCACCAGGGACAGGAGGGTGACTGGTTGTGTCTAGTGTGCCAGTAGAGGGATGAGTTCAGAATCATCCTGTCCTTGTTCTGCTTGTTCGCACTGCCCGTCACTGCCTGTGAAAATGATGGCATGTTATGGTTTTCATTTAGCAGAGCACAAGCAGTCCTAAGTGCTGCGAGCTGTTCTCTGACAAACTACTGTGCCTACATATTGTTTCCATAAGCCTGGTTTCAGTCATCTGTGGTTTTACTTTTTCTTAAACTTCTTTTGGAATCAGGAGGAGCTTGCCTTTGTATTCGAGATGCTGCAGCAGTTTGAAGACGCCTTGGTGCAATATGATGAGCTGGATGCCCTGTTTTCTCAGTATGTCGTCAACTTCGGTGCTGGCGGTGCCACCCAGTGAGTAGCACCTCAGCCTTGAGAGGTCTCAGAATAGTGCCCACAAGTTCCCACAAGGTGGAACTAGGTTCTAAATACCTGATATGTCAGGGTATAGAATTACATTTTCCTGGCTTTTAGGTTTTTATTTTTTTAAAAATTTGCTATAGGGCATGAGTGCTCATTAGAGAGAAAGAGAGAGAGAGAGAGCACCCCCCTGGGGGTGGGGGCAGAATGGCCATACCACAATTCCTCTTCCATCCCCATATCCCATCTCCAGATTCGGGACATGCATGCACACATGCCTGGTGTGCTTTTTAAGCCACTGGGTCCTGGACTTAAAGCAAGCAGCTGACCATTTGGGATCTAGCTACCTTAACCACCACACTGCCACTGGTTTCTGGTTTTTACTTTGTAATGTGTAGTAATGGAGTCCAGAAAAGAAAAAAAAAAGAAAAAACACCTGTTATCATCTCTTTACATTGTTTTCATTCCTCCAATACTATCAAGCACTGACACATGTCCAGTCTTACCAGTATGCAGCTTTCTCGGGCTTATGTGACTGGTGAAGAGAGGAGATAATGAGTAAATGATGCAGAGTGGCAGAAAGAAGCCATTGTGAGGCAGGGGTGGTGTGGAGTGCTGGAGGGAAGAGAGCAACCATTCTGAAGAGAATGTCCAGGGATGGACACCAAGCACTTGGTGGAGCAGAGCCTGAAGAACAGGTCAAGAACAAGCCCTGTGGGTATTTCGACGCAGAGTGAAGAGGCAGTATAAAGTCTGCAAGGCAACTGTGTGCAGCACACGTAAGGGGCGAAAGGCCTTGGTGACGGGCTGAGTCCGTGAGGTTTGAGAGGCAGCACTAGAAAAGGAGGGGAGGTAAATCTTGCCTGGGATCCTCCCAAAAGACGAAGGATTCTCCCTGAATATGAGGAGCCGCTGTAACCTCAAGTGGTTAGACCGTGAGGAGAGCACAGTCACTGTGGGAAAAATTTGGACCTGCATGCCCAAGGCATCCTTAAGTGTCCAGGTGAGGGTGTTGATTGCAGTTGGGGCCACATAATCTGATCTGAGCTGCAGTCAGATTTGGTCGTCATACTGTGGAGATTTCTGTAAGATCACTGCATGGACATACTGAGTGTAGAAAGAGGAAGTCCAAGGGCCTCTTGGGCCACAAGAGGAACCAGTAGGCAGACTGAAGGCAGGGAACTGCAGGTGGCCTGTGTCTGAGATGGCAAGGAAGGCACCAGGGACAGGAGGGTGACTGGTTGTGTCTAGTGTGCCAGTAGAGGGATGAGTTCAGAATCATCCTGTCCTTGTTCTGCTTGTTCGCACTGCCCGTCACTGCCTGTGAAAATGATGGCATGTTATGGTTTTCACTTAGCAGAGCACAAGCAGTCCTAAGTGCTGCGAGCTGTTCTCTGACAAACTACTGTGCCTACATATTGTTTCCATAAGCCTGGTTTCAGTCATCTGTGGTTTTACTTTTTCTTAAACTTCTTTTGGAATCAGGAGGAGCTTGCCTTTGTATTCGAGATGCTGCAGCAGTTTGAAGACGCCTTGGTGCAATATGATGAGCTGGATGCCCTGTTTTCTCAGTATGTCGTCAACTTCGGTGCTGGCGGTGAGTAGTGACATTTCTCTACCTTCAGGCCTCCTGAAGCTGACACTGAGTCATCATTCTTACTGTTGCTTTTATATAATTTATGAAGAATGTATTCGGATGATTCCTATAGGACATGAGATCAGAATTAAGACTTAGTCACTTTCATTTTTAGAAGGACTTTACGTAATAAAAGCATTTAAGACATTTTTTTAGGCATAAAGCATCATTTCTACATCTTAGCAGCATGCTAACAATGTTTCCGATTCTGTATCCCCTCGTTAGCGTAGGCATGGAAGACTCCTGCCTGCATCTATGTAAAAGTTGTGTTTTTGGAATTTGAATGCTATTGCATTGAGGTTTTTTTTTTAAAGAGTCATTTATTTTTGTTGTTGTTGTTATTATTATTTTAATTTGACCAGAGAAAGAGAGAGAAAGGGAAGTGACAAAGCAAGCCATCAGGTCCAGGACTCGAACTGCATTTGGCCATGTGGGAGTCCAGTGCCCTAAACACTGTGCCACCTGCCAGCCCCCTGCCTTGAGTTTTAAATGATACCATTGTAATGGGTGTTAATCTTTTAAACTTTTAAATGATATCTTAAGTTTTTTATTATGAAATTAATACAGTGAAACCATATACCAATAAAAAATGTATAATCCTCCTTAATATTCTTTATTGATAATTTATTTTGCTAGAAGTAATATTGTATGATGTAGGCATTTCTTTAGCTTCTCTTTTTTCAGTTACATCATCACAGCCATTTCTCCAAGTTACAGAGCAGGTTCCAAGTTATTTTTGTTAGTAGCTGCATGATACTTGCTGTTGTGAGTTCCTGCGAGTTTGTTCAAATGTCCTTTGGGCATTTGGGATATTTCCTACTTCTTGCTACCACTGCAGGCAGTGCTGTAACAGACCACTTTGCTGGGTGTTCTTGGTGAGAACCCTACCACTTTGTCTGGAGGTGGGAGTGCTAAGGGAACTAGAAGTGCAGTGTCAGCTAGAGAGCCTGTAGGAACGTGAGGTGCTGGAGATAGCCAGTGCCAGTTGGGGTGCTTTTCCTAGCATGGGAAAGAAAATGACATGTCATTGGCTGCTTCCCACTCCAGTGTTTATCAAGTTCAGGTTTGGTTATCATGCTCCATTAAGATGCAAGTATAAACATATAACCAAAGCAAAGTTGCTGATTAAATTTTTAAAAATAGAAGAGATAAAACTTTATTTCCTGTATTTACATACCCATATTATACATAGATTTCATTAAGTATTTTAAATATTTCTTTTACTGCATTTCACATAATCACTTCGTTTTTTTTTCTCTTAGTTTTAAAATAACTCTGGGGCTATTTAAAATCCAAAAATAGGTCTGAACCTAGTTTTGCAGCTAAATGATAGATCATTCACTTTTCTTTTGTTCAACAATCACAGAGGCCTGCTGTTCGCCAGGCACTGTTCTGAACACAGGGAAACAGTGCAGAACCCTCTTTCATGGAGTTGCATGAAGGGAGCAGACTCAGAAAAATAGCACAAAATGTCCTGTCCAGCAACAGGAGGTGCAGGCGGCAGAGTGGGGGCTACTGACTTCAGATCGGGTGGGTGTGGTAACTCGGAGGTGGCTGCCTCTGCACAGGGGTGGGGGCACTGTGAGCTCTAGCATCTCTGAGCAGAAGTTCGGTTCGGCCATGGGCTGTTGCTGTAGCAGCACCTCCATGGCAAGTATTGACCTGTCCCTTCCCTAGGAGTGTGGTAAGCTGGCTAGGGTGCCCCTCTTCCAGAGTGACAAAAGTAGGTTAAACTTTTCTTTCATAAGGATCGAATAACTGGTTATTATAAATTCTTATATTTATTTGCAGGTCATTTTTGAGTCTCAGGACTACAAGTTAAAATTGGGGATCCTTATAATTTTTCACAAGTGAAGATTTTTTCCCTCCTGCTTACTGCTACTGTGTCTTCCCTATACTAACCATCTCTTCCTTTGGGAGCTCAACTCAGGTAGTTGATTGACATGGTTGTGTTAGGGAAATAAGGAAGAGTATGGAAAACAAGAAGGAAAATACAGCCAGCTACCAGCCCTCAGGTGAAGGCAAGGCAGCCTGGTTATATACTAGCGCCTTCTGTAGGCCTAAGTGACACAGCCAGAGGTGTCTCTACACCACAGCCCCCCCAAGGGTGACACTCATGACCTATGGGCATGCTAAGAGCATATGCTTTGTTGTCCAGGTCCTATTACCTTTGCTCAGCCCCCCAATGCTGGGATCTAGATGGCTATACTTGTGGGGAGGACCCCATTCTGCTTCCTTAGCTAGACTAGGGTGGTGGTGGGCAGAGAGGAACTACTGGCGAGGTTGTCCCTTTGTCCCAAGTTAAGCAGCTTGTAAGGTAAAGGATACAAGTCAATGCCTTTCATGATCTGTGTTTGTTTAGATGGTGCCAATTGGCTGACTTTTTTCTGCCAGCCGGTGAAGAGCTGGAATGGATTGATCCTCCGAAAGCCAATAGACATGGAGAAGCGGGAACTCATACAGAGGCAAGAAGCCACCCTGTTAGACCTGCGCAGCTACCTGTTTTCGCGCCAGTGCACCTTGCTCCTCTTCCTTCAGAGGCCCTGGGAGGTGGCTCAGCGCGCCCTAGAGCTGCTACACAACTGTGTGCAGGAACTAAAGCTCTTGGAAGTGAGTGGCTCTTAATCAATTTCCTGTTTCTTTCCTTCTTTTTAAAAAAAATTGCTATAGGGTGTGCTTGCTAGAGAGAGACAGAAAGAGGGGGATATGTGAGAGAGCACTTCCCCAGGAGGTATGGCCACACTGTAATCCCTTCTTCATTCTCCTCTCGAGATTTGGGGCATGTGTGCACATGTTCCTAGCATGTTTTTCATGCTTCTGGATCCGGGACTAGAACCACACAGTTAGCCATGTGGGATCCAGCCACCTTAACCACCATTCTACAGGCTGGCCTTCCGATTTCCTGCTTTCTTTGTTGTTCATACAGGAGACTCTTGAAGTCTGAGGCATTGAATTATTGGTGCTCAGAAAAGAGTTTTCTTTTTTCAGTTTCTTTAATTTTAAGTAAAGTATTTGTATACTTACTTTTTAGCAGTAATTTCTCAGTATAATTTCTGCTCTCAGAGTGGTGAAGATTGTGTAGGTCCAAAGCAAGCCTCTCAGGTCAGCTTCTGACTACAGCTTTTAGGTACCTTGAGTTTGCATGCAGTGAGCTGGTCTTCACTGGGAGATGTGGTCACATAGGTGGCAATGGGGAGATGCATAGCAGGCACCAAGCTAATGTAAGGCAGTCACTCATGAGCACATGTGTGTGCGCGTATGCATGTACGTACATCGTGGGTGTGTAGAAGAACCAGTTAACAAACAAACGTTTGCCTTTAAAGATTAGTTTGCCTGAGGACTGGCGAACGCTGGCTACCTATAGAGTTGGGGCCGCTTGGTATAGTGAAGAGATTTTAAAGACTTTTTGAGGCCAGTGGTTCTCACCTTTTTGTATTGATGACCTCTTTCCTTAACAGTTCACATATGCACATACACAATGTCACATATAATTTCATAGGTTACATGTACTTACACCCCACTTCCCATTCCCCTCTTAAGGTCTAAGCGAGTGGTCTGATTCCATTTTACAGACATGCAGACTCAAAATGGCTAAGTGCCTTACCCTGGCAGCATTGTAAGTCCCACATGTACTTCTGTTGTGCCCCACATTAGGGTTCCCAAGGGCCATAGTCATTGTATTAAGGCCTTCCTAGAAAGGATTCAAGAATATAAATTTACCATGTTAGTGAAACCATTGATAGAGTATATAATATAGTAACTTACTTTTGTGTACCCCAGTATACAAGTAACAAGCTCAACACTTAGTTTGCAATCATCTTAAAAGATTTAAACTAACTAATTAATTTTTACCTAAGTGAAGAGAACTTACTGGGTTGTCACAGAAATTATGACAAAAATATTTTTCTATGCAAAAATGTGTCATGACTTTTCCAACGACCCAACAGTTAATTTCTGAAGGAAAATGTATATTTCAGAGATAATCTCAGTAGCTAGCCTAGCTGAAGAATAAACTCAAGAATTTAGGAATTTTATTTATTTATTTTTTGCCTTAGATACCCAATAAAGAAAATGAGAAAAAAAATAACATTTTCCAACTCAAACGGATGTTCTTGGCTACCTTTGACCTGTGATGGCACAGATGTGGAGTCTGGCTGGGTGCTCCATGGGATAAGGCTGTGAGATGCCCACTCATTAATAGAACAGGGCACTCTCTGTATGTGCCTGGAGTTTTACCTGACTTAGAGAGTTTCGTCTTGTTAATAGGTAGGGAAGAAAATTGCAGTGTGTATTAGAATTTCAGTGGTTCAAACTGGCCTTTTCAAATGAGAACTCCAGGAGGATTTGTTAGAAAGTGCTGCTGCTCAGTGCTGTGTCTGGATGTGATCTGACTGAGGAGGTGCATGTGCTGGGAGCTTGGTCCCCAGTTTAATGATGTTGAGAGGTGGGGGCACCTTTAGGAGGTGCAGCCTTGTGGGCCATATTTGAATCGTGAATATATTAATGCCATCTGGAGGTAAGGAGGAAGTTTCCTCTCAGAAATAGGTTAGTTCCTGCCAGCATGGGTTGTTAAAAGAATAGGACGGCTGTCCCAGGTCAGTCTCCCCCACAGGTGCTCCCTTCCCTTCCTACTTCTGTTGGCCATGCCATCACATAGAATAGGTGCCAGCCCCATGCTCTTGGACTTTCCAGCCAAGAATCGGGAGCCAACTTAACCCGTATTCTTTTCAGGTCCCCCCCCTCAGGTGTTGCTTTTGAGCAACACAGTATCGGACAACCAACCAACTGGGGCCAGCATGTTTTTCAAGTCCTGTGTACTCAGTGTGGGTAGGGAAACCTGAGGGTATAAACCTAGTCCCAGCTCAAATTCCAGGATTCAAGAACCTTTTTCAACTTCATCTCATCTTAGATCGTTGACTAGCAGTAGCATGGCTGTGGCCTACAGAGAGGAGGAGGGGAAGAGTTCTTGCAGCCAGGGACACCTAGGTAGCTCAGCAGGCCCCTTTGGCACTGCCTTGTACTCTCCTCTAGAGGTTCTGGATGCTACAAACGAGTTTACTGATAGAATACACGGCTCACCAGGCAGTGAGAGTGTGGGAGGTACAGGGAGGGGATATACTTCTGGTGCAGTAGGGATGGTGACTCCTCTGCTGGCATGGCTCACTAGGTCTTTACCCTACCATGGGTCCCTTCTTGTTCCAGCATCTGCAGACAGCGTAGATGAGCTGTGGAGACTTGTATACATAGCCCTGTTCGTTCACCTCAGAGCAGCATGCTCACTTCCTCCTGCCAGCTTCCCCAGGGCGCAGGAGGTTCCTGTGGCCTTCTTAGCTCACCTTCTAAATTCTGCAATGCCTCTGGCCATAGAAGAGGGAAATAGAAATTGTCAAATCTTACCTGTTTGTCTGTAAGAGCAGTGTGTGTGTAGTGGACAGGTGTGACTCTTTATACCAGCAGAGTCACCTTTGGCACACATGGAATAACTACTCAAGACACAGAGATCTGAGTCAAGAGGGAGAGGGAGAGGCCATACCAGGCATGCACCTCCTAAAGCCTCTTTCATCCTTTGTATTTATTAGGGCAAAAGAGGAAGGAAAGTTGTTTTTTAGAGAGTCAGAAAAATAAAGGGATTTCCAGAACAGGTTGGTTTTGGTATTGATTAGGAGGGGTAAGGCTAAAGACACCAGAGGCTGGAAAGAACACCTTGGAATCTGGAAAAGTGCGTTTATCAGATCACACACCCGACTGATGGCCTCCTATTGTTTGCAAGCAGGAAGGCCACATTCCCTGAGCATGCATTCACTCAGAGTCCATAAATCCATGCTGTTCTAGATGCGTGGCATTTCTGTTTTTCTCTAACAGGCAGGTGCCTCTTCTCTTTGGCAGCTTGTGAGCTCATGTTTAGCCACTTGGCACCTGCTGGTCCCCCAGGCTCTCACCCACTGGTGTGGGGGCCCAATGAGGGCATCTTAGGTGCTCCATGTTGTTTAAGTGCTTCTGTCCCATTGTAGGATTCTTCTGGCCCATTTCACATCTGGGTAAAAGTGTTATTGTCTTCTTGATCTTGCCTTGAGTGAGTGTCCCCTGCAAGAGAAATCATGTTTGTTGCACTCTTTGACTTTCTAGATCTCCTGTGTCCCCTCTGGGAGGAGCTGACTGAAGCTGCATGCTAGGCTCCAGTGGAGACATTCCATCCACTTTCTACCATCTCAGTCTCTTTTTGGAGACCCACTTCCTGTTCCCTATCCTGCTCTTGTTGTACACAGCTGGGTATAAGTGTGGCTGACCTGTCCCTTGACACCCTGTCTTGTGTGCTGCACCTGTTAGATTCCTGAGTGGGACTTGCTGACCTGCTTTGTCAGACCCTTAACTGAAGCCACATGATTCTTGACATGCTTCGTCTCTGGGCTTACCTAGCTCCAAGTTCAGTGCTATTGCCTTGTGGCGTTTCCCTGCCAACCTCTTCACATCTAAGGCCTTATTCTCACTTGTGCAAATAGTTTTACTCTGGTCTTATTTTAGAGTTATTTTGTGAGAATTTAGATTTAGGAAGACGGTTGAACATAGAGGCTGGGAGTGTGGGCTCTGCACCCAGCAACCCAGCCTGTCAGTCTTTAGACCCCACCTTTTAGGGGCTGGGTGACTTTTGAGTCATTTATTTTCCCTGATATTTTTTAAGGCACTTGTTCTCACCTCCATCCCCTTCTCGCCCCTTTCTAAAGTTTATCTGTTCCCTGAGTGAGAGGGTCATACACGACATCCCCAACAGGGTCTTGATATAAGGATCCATTTGCTGCCCCAGGCAACTCAGATCATGGACACACACATGTGTTGTATACTCAGGAAGGTTCCTGGATGTGAACTAGGAACCTCATGTAGATCTGCCTCCAGAGCTTTACCACTGTGCTGCTCTTGAGCCCCTCCTTTCCTTAAAAGCTTCCTTTTTCTCACCTGTGATGGAGACACTGGCTGTCATCTGAGCTGCGAGGGTCCTGTGAGGGGCTGTGTACAGGCTGCTAAGTGCAGCGCCAGCCCAGAGCCCTCATATGTGCTACCCCTCCCTCCCTGTGTGCATCCTTGCTGATGTCCTGCATGGGTATTTCTTCCAAAGGACTGAGAAGTACTCACCTACTGGGTAGCATGCTTGGGAATACAGAAGCTGTGTGGTAACATCACTACAAAATTCTTTCTACTCTCTCATCTGGGTTAGATTTTTTTCTATACACTTTTTTTTGTTTTGTTTTTTGAGGATGAAGAGTTGTTACATCAGATAAGTTTTACAGTTGGCAATTAACATGAAATGCTTATTCCTAGAATTTCTTTAAATGTTGGGGACCAGCAGTTAGCATAATGGCTATGTCCCTGGACTCTTAAGTAGCTGACCGCGGTTCGAGTCCCAGACCCGGTGGCTTAAACTCATGCCGGATGTGTGTGCGTGCGTGCGTGCGTGCGTGCCCAAGATCCCAAGAGGAGAATGGAGGAGAAGGGATTGCAGCGTGGCCATCTTCCCAGGGGTGATTTCTTGCTTTCTGTCTCTCTGTCTTTCTGGCAAGCTCACATGCCCTATAGCAAAAACCTCTCCAAAAAAAAAAAGAATTTCTTTAAATTTT